CAAAAGCTTAAAAAAAATCCTTACTCTCAAGAATCTACCGGAGTATTTGGTATTGATTAAAGTAATTATGTCCATGCATTAAAAAAACAATAACAAACAACCATTAAAAAAAAAACACACCAAAAAAAGACTGTACTTGGAACCAAGCTAATACAGTTTTGAGTTAAATGTCAAACAAATGTAATTCTTCTATGAATATTCTTTATTGTGTATTACAAATGGAATTTCTGGTACTTGGTTTGTCAGCAAACAGTATGCTCTGCTATTGCAGAAGAAACAAATGTGCTTCATCGGGAACACACTCTTTCCTGTTTGGCTTCTGTTTTTGGTTAATGCGTTGCTGCAAATATGTATATATATATCTTTTTCTGTAGTTCCAAGATGGTAATATTAGATAGCAAAAGAGCTTTTTTTTTTTTTCCAAAAAAAAATCTTAAAAAATTAATTAATAAAAAGATTTAAAAGATTTTTAATGATTTAATGATTGATTACACCAGAAATACACTATGTGAAGAGCTCTGAAACAGCTTCAGTATCTCTGGAAAGAAAGAAGCATTACTGAACACAACTTTGCTTCAATATAACAGCAAATCTCCCTCCAACCCTCAGACTAAAGCTGTCTACTGGTGGGTCTGCTGTAGGTCAGGGAATACAGAGCTTTCCACGTGAAAGGCAGCTTGTTCATACTTAGACCATGAGCTCAAATGAATCAGAATAATGCAATAATCTTTAATATTCTTAATAGAACCCATGTGGAAACATGGAGATATATAATAGTGTTTAAATATATCAAAACATTATTGAGGGTAGTGTGACAGAGTCAAGAATAGGATATTAAATGTTTCCACGCAACAGTAATTTTCCCCTTTTAGTATTATGAAATAATCTAATCTCACTAATGCGTACTTTTATTTTACAGGGTATCCCTGCCTCAATCTGTTCAGGGAATGGGTCTGTTTGCATTGAAAGAGACTGTAAGATCACTGCCTCATAGGTTGCGAAAAATGGTGTTGGTTTTTTTTTTGTTTTTTTGTTTTTGAAGTAAATAATACATAATCAAGACAGCTGAATTCTTCCCTGGGGAATCAGATATGCCTTTGGTTTGGTAACTATGTAGAAGTATGCTTAGGGATGACTAAATAATTGAGCAGGTTCTTCATATCTGATCATTAATATTACATCTCCTTTTCTAAATGCTTGATTTGTGAGATTAAGAGTGAAGTGTTCACTCATCTACAGTTACATTGAGTAGAGGCTGTTCTTTTAACTAATCAAATGTAGCAGTGTGCCATATTGAACTGAACTATCAAGTCCTGAGTGGCTCAAGCAGGCACTCAAAACTTGAACTTTTTGTGGCTCCGTTCCCTGTCTGCAAATGGAGCTGATCCCTTTCTCAGTACAGAGGTATTCTGAAGGCAAAGCAGCTGTGAAACATTTAATGGAGGCTTCAGAAAGAAAAGAGTAATTTGGTGTTCAAGACAGAGCTGCAGTGGTGTGCAGTGCTTAGATCACAATCTTCAGAATGAAGAGAAAACAAATTGAGTAATTTCTCCTTGAGAGACATCCGGCACACATGTAATTGTCTTTTTATAGCCCTGGTTTTTAAGTCTGATCATGGAAAATTAAAACAAGATAGTTCAAGAGTGAAAATGAGAGAATTCTTAAGGCAAATTTGTCTTTTATTGTTTTTGGTTGTTGGTTACTGTGTTCTGCTTTGGAATACAAATGTTTTTAATTTTGCTAATAACTACATAAGGTGAAAGAAATATCATACCTCACCAGTCACTGATGTATATTGGTCGTGTAACGTAACTTAAAAGTGAGGCTTGCTGTGTACCTAAAGCAATAATTTAGCTATGTTTTATTTATACATCTATAAATGTAAACATTTACTAAAAATATACATTAATGTATATATGTGGAGCACAAGTCTTCTAGGACAAAATAATTTTATAATACAAGTTAATTTATTAAAAGTTTCTCCAAATAAGTTATTTTCTCCAGATGATGATGACATTGAAAGAATGTAGGCTTTTCAAAAATTTTTCATTAATATCTTTGAAATAATTCATAAGGTTTTCATTGAGTTGCACTGTTGTCAACCTAAATTTACTAGTGAATTTGTCTACATGTTATGATTTTTCCTAAACTCATTCTTATGTATCCTTCAGTGTGCATATTGCTACCTGCATTAGCCAAAGCTAAATACAGTGGTAGTCTAACTCCTGTGCTTATTTTAGGCTTGGCAGTAGGATTTTGGGGAGAATAACTCACGTTTTTAGCTGAGAATTGTTCTTTGAATTGTTTTGCGTTTTGACGGGGGAATTGTTGTGACCCATTCTGAGCCTTGTATAGAACTTCCCCAACCTGCCAAGTTTGTAAATAAAAATATTTTGAACGAGGCATGCACCTCACTTCTGGCTGTGCTTGCCTAGTAAATCATACCTAGTATATTGTACACACATAGTGAACCTCAGGGTAATGACTTGAATCCTTTCTTCTTTCTGAAATAATCATTTTGGAGAGTAAGGATCCAGGATATATGAGGTGTGATAAGGTATAATGTAATGGCATTTTATTTTGGGATGCCAGTGGCATGAAGACTGTATGGATGGAGTTTGGTATAGAGAAACTAGGGTTGAGTTTCAGTAGTGGTGGCATTCCTGTAGTACTGGACCTGACAGATCTCAAACGAGATCCTACACTGACTGCCAGGACTGCATCAGACTGGATGGCTGGGAATTTCCTCTGTCTGGAGATGTCATTTGTCATGGGAGCTTGCTCTGATTTTCTGTGTCAGGTTGGTAGAAGAAAGATGCAGGCTGTACAAAAGCAGCTTTCTAGGGCCATCTGGAATCCAGCTACTTCCAGCTGCTGCAGGTCAGAGACTAACTGGTCCTGTGTTGGCAGGTTCCATGTAATGTACTGGTGGAGGTCTAAGAGGAAATCATTGCTTTTATTTGATCTTCCTGTACTTGTTTCATAAACATTCATATACCACTCACTAAGCAAGAGTGCAGTTAAGTGCAAAGAGAAAGGAAGTAGTACAGCTGCTATTGCAGTAATCAGAGTTCACCAGGAATTCATAATCAGCTGTATAAATGAAGGTCACAATAAAACCAAGCAGGGTAGTGTCACTGGAAGTGGAATTGTATGCCATCTCTATTCTTGCTCTTCTTTTCCTTTGAGCACATAGGGTAGTGTTACCCTAATAAATATATTTGGGCAACTTTGTACCACAGAAGTACTAGCAACGTGGAGGGAAGTCCACCTGAGACTGCAGGTGCTGGGATGTGCCTTCTCAATTGAGAAGTTGATCTCAGTCCCATCAATCCAACTCAGTCTGTTTTGCAGGATACCCAGCAATTCATTTTCTCCTCATTTTCTCTCATCCTCCCCATTTTGCTCTAACACATCAGGGTATCACTTGTGGTCAAAGGCATTTTCATGTGTTCTGTAGCAAGTTGCACTCCTTGTTATATCCCCTTGTTTATCTACAGTGAAATATTTTCCTCTAAGAAAGGAAGGAAAACACAATATTCTGTGTCACAGCAGAGGCAAAATCACATACGTTTTTCTCCATGTACAGCTATGGTCTACCTCTATGTTACTCTCTTAAAAAAGAACTGATTCTGAAGTTACCAGGCCAGCAAAGGCAGTTGTAACTACCTTGGTTGTTGTGTTATAGTTGCTGTTTATCATCAATTAAGATTCTCTGGGTAATAGGATTAGGTGATTAGGACATGATCCTCAGATTTTTTGTTTCAGTGCTTTTATTTTAGGCAATAAGGGCAAGGAAAGCTTTCCGTTTACATAATATTCCAAACTGGAAGAGGTTGAAACAGTTTGTTGGTCCTCTGATAGAAGGCCTCCCTACTTGTGACTGATGTGTTTACAAACGGAAGGTGTGAAGTCCTGCTAGCCCGGAAAGCATTACCTTAGTGACAGTACTGAATTTAGTTTAACATAGTCATTGCTATCTGATTCTTCTCTAATGCTATAAAGGACACAGGAGTTTTTGGATGACTCAGTAATGTCTTTTTTCCTTTTGTTGACAAGTCAAAACCTGCTGGAGTTCCCTTTAACCCCTTACTAGTATAGAGTAGCAGAGGATCTGATCCCTTGTCTCTAACAGCCACCTCCATGGTCAGTCCTAGACTTCTACTCCTAACTTTATGTCTTTTTTTTTTTTTTTTTTTCCCCTAGATGCTGCTTTTTGTTCTTGTGGGTTTTTCTCAGATATCTGCTGAAAATACTATGATTAATTACTGAGCTGTTTCTCCTTTCTATAATCTGCAATGAGAATGAGGTGCTGTTTCTAATAATTTTGCAAACTGCTCTTCAACAGGCCTCTTAGTGAAGTTCACTACTTTTTCCTTTTTAATAAATTATAGTTTAATGTCAGTGAATCATTTAAAATACCATTTGTGAGTTCTTTTCTGGGTATTGCTTTTCTTCTCGATCTTAATCCTCCTGCTGTTCATGGAGCCCCTGTAACCTGTACTACTGTATAAGATATTATTTCTTCTGAACTGGTACTCTGCATTTGTATCGTATTCTTCTGCTTTTTATATTATAAAATAGTTGAGTCTTTTATAGCACCTATATCTTTGCATGAGCTTTGTTTTCTGTATTTCTATAGGTGTTACATCATGGGGCATGGGTCTAGGTTTACTCTTTTTTTTCCTCTGTTTTTTAAACTTAACCTTTTTATACCCTCCATGTTTATTTTTATTTAACTACGCTGTTTTGCAATGTTTGTTCTTTGGGGTTTTTGTTTGGGTTTGCATTTCCTTATGTCCTGCTGCTTGGCATGTGGGTGCCTTTTTAGTCATGATATGCTTTGCTGAATATTTGTTCACATATCCTTTTTTTAGCATTCAAATGCTAAAGTAAATGCTATCATTAGATTCACTGCAATATGATTCCACAATATAATTTTCCTACAAACGTAGCAATTAAAGTTATTCATTGTTAATTCTCTTCTCTTTTCTCCCCAGCAACCCAGAATGTGTTGCACTCGCATCAGGCTTATGTACCAGCTATCGGTAACAGGAAGGCAAATTTTCTATTTACCCAGTTTTTCCTTGTCCCTTTGCAATGTATTAAAAGTTTGAATTGCTACTTGAACTTCTTCCAAATTGAACTGGCAGATTTATTTGTTGTAATTGGAAAAGCCCCACAATGTGCTTATTTCTTCTGCTTTTTGCCCTGTTTGTAGATAGCTAATGCTTTGACCAAATATTTGCATTCTAGCAGTTGTTCTCCTGGGTTTACATGTAATCCATTGCCTGCTTTCAGATGCTATGTTTCAGTGGTTACTTAAGCTGTCCTAAAATTCCTATCAGTAATGATGCACAATTATGCAAATGCAACGCTGACTTTTATGATCTACACCAAGCTGTTCTTTTTTAATTCTCTGCAGCAGGTTCTTGCCACTCTATGAAAGTCAAAAGAGAAACAGAGTATTAATTCTGCCTCTAAAGCTTGATCTCTTAATTCTACAAGCTTCTTCGTAGCGTGTCGATCTCTCAAGTTTATACCACTCAGTTCTGTCTCAGACAAGCCTGGTATAATCAGCAGGCATTGGCACCTCTATTGATTTCTGAAGATGAGGTATAGAGAGATGCAGATCTGCTCAAAAGAGAGTAGATGTAGTTTGTCTTTTGAAATAAAACATAATTCCAGATGGAACATAAAATCAGTTTTAGCGGTTCTGACTCCTTATAATATTGTGATCACAGGTAGTCATCACTAACACACAACCTGACATAGTGTCTGTAGTCAATTTACAATGTAAAATTGTGTTGCTGTTATAGAAGGGTGCTCAGAAAGGGAGAGAGCAAATGGGAGTGAGCAATGGACTGAAAGCAGAGGGGAGCTACTCACTTTTTCTTCTCCTGCTTACCTGCCTGGACGTTACCACCCTGATGAAGAATCAGAGTTGGAATTTGTTCATTGTTGAGTGTATGAACATCTTTTATCTTATAAGTTCCAGGAACATTTTCCTGTTGAAAAGATTTTAACACACACTTATGTAGATATTTTTTGTTAACTTGTTTGGACATTTTCTTGCAAATGAGACATCTGATTGCATCAGATCTTATTCTTCCTGAAAACGGTAGTCTATTTTGATGCTATTTTATCATGACCAAATGCCATAGAAAGAATTATAGGCTGTTTCTGAAGTTTGTATTTTTTGTCTATTTCAAAGAGCATACTGAATTTTAAATGCAAAAGTCCTCTGGTTTTAGGTGTTCTGATACTGAGTTGCTTCTTTTTTCAACAAGAATGTATTACATCGAGCATCTTCACATGACTTTTGCCCATCGTCATGGTGATACCTGTTGTCCTTCCCTATCTGTTTTTCTTCTTTCTTTCCTCTCTACTCATCTACTGCTTTTTATGTTTAAAGGATGCACATCTCTTGTGTGGCTAAGGAAATCGTGTTTTACTGGGGCAAAATATTTTGAAGAATATAATGGTCTGCATGGTTGCCTTGGTTGTATCTTGCTTTTAAATTGGTTTGAGTAAAGAAAACAAACTGACCAGTTTCAATTTTCTTTCTAGTCAATTCCTTTAACTTTGCTTTGTTATGCCTTTGCTCTTCTGTTTTATATAAATAAGGTCACAGAATTAAAACCAAGCATTTATTTTGAAAATAAAACCAGCTCCCTGCTATTCAGAGTTTTCACAGGCGTAATTGTGACCACACTGTGCACTATTATTAACTAAAATAAACTTCAGCTTTGAAGTCCTTCCATCTCTCACACGTTTTTAAATGGCTTCCTGTGAATCCAATATATTATCAAATTGTGCTGTTATTCTGCCTCATCTATTAATGTTTTTATATATAAGAAAACTCATCAGTTTAAGTAGTTCTGTAGGCAATGTTTTGCCTTGATTGTTGTTTTGAAGTGTTTGTCTAGCCCTGAAAATTTATGTTAGAAGCAAATGTATTCCAGAAATACTCTGGAGTATTTGAAAAGTAGTTATTTATCTTTAATTTCTATATCGGGGAATATGTTTTATATGTTATAATTTTATACAAAATTGCGTGCCAATATCATGTAGTTAATTGGCATAACTGCAGTAATATTCAAGTATATAACAATCCACAGCTGCTGAATAAAGGAAATTTGTACTTGGGGGGGGGGGGGGTGGGCAAGGCTGAGTGCAAGGGTAAACTTTGTGTATCTTGAGGAGAAGGCTAAAGTAGAGTTCAGTTGGTTTCATGCCCCAGAGCTATCTGGCTCAAGACAGAATTCCAGATTTTTTACGCTTATAGTTTATAATAATTAATATTAAGGCTTACATTTAAAGCCTCAGCTATGGTGATTGACAGGTATGTAGTTTCTGGGGTGATATGCAGAATGATTTAGGAATCTCTTTGTTAGGAGAAAACAAAACACAATTGTGTAAATTCTGTGTAAAAGTTGTTTGTTTGTTTGTTTGTTTTTTTCCGGACATTGCCTGTAAGAGTGGCTAGTTTATAGTCCTTTAAAATACTTTCATCTCACAGAAACAATTTTCCATTTGGAAGCACTGTGAGTGCATCATAACCTTTCAAAAAGACCTAATCTATAAGCATCAAAACTGTATTTTCTTTTTTTCATATAGGACAGCTGAAAGCTTGGCTCACACAGTCAGCTATCGTGACACCTCTTGTGAAAAACAGCTTGGTTTGCAGAAATGTGCGTTAATATGTGTTGAGGTTTTTTTCCCACAAAATAATTAGCAGTCAGTAGTATGTAGGCACTGGAGTTCTCTTCCCCACCTTTTATACTGCTATCCTTTATTCTTGTGGATGGAGCAATCTGCTTTCTTGTGCGGAGTGTAAGTAGTAAGTCAGGTGTGCCATGTAAGGGCACTATAGAACTCCTGCACACTGTAATATTCTTAAAACTGGTAAATGTATGTATCTTTATGCAGAATCAATGATATATAACATTGTAAGCTATCTGTTGACAACGTGCTTTGGTTATTGTCATATGAACCAATGGCTAGTGAACTATACAGTAGCAAAAAAAATGACAACAGTGATTTAAGTTTAATACTGTTGTTCTCTTTGCTAACCCAGTATTTTTCATCCGTGTGTAATAAATAAATGATATTCTTTAGAGGTCAGTGTTCCATGAAACTGAAAGACATTTTGGTCTTGTTTGTTTTTTAAAGAATGAGTCATTCAGAGTCTAGTTGAATTTAGCCTCTATGGTTGTATGTACGTTCCTGTAGATCTTCCTCTTGCTCTGATACCTGCTTTCATGAAAGAGCTGCTCTGCTCTATGAATTGAATAAACATTTTAATAAGCATGACTTTGTTCTGCTCTTGGGGAAACTCAGACTTATCAGCATGGGTCTATTGAGAAAGGTGAGCAAAGGTCCCCTGGGCTTGCCAAGTCAGCAGTCTGTGCTTGCTGGGGCCAAGAAATGTATTAAAGAGACTGCAAGTTTAACAAGTCAGAACGTTTTCACTATTTCCATATTTATCAAACCTGTCAAGGAATGTGGTCACAAGGCCTTCCAGGGATTAACTGCTCTAGTAGTTCGATTGTTTTGGTTTTGTTTTTTTTCTTAACAGTGACAAAAGCCAAGTTCTCAGTGTGCAGCAGCACTTTGGTATCTATGAATGTGAAGAATGACTGTCTGATCTTGGAGATCTGTTCTGAATGGCAGGCGGCGTTCTGTAAATGTTTAATCACACCCTGCAACTGATGGGAACTTACACTCACAGAGATGACTAGTATATTGGCGTGTTTCCCATGACCAAAAGACTGGAATGAATTTTTTGTGGTGTCTGTAAGTATAGATCAGCCAGTCAATAATACCTTAAAACACACATGTAACCTAAGGAGTGGGTTTAATCCCTTTAGGCTTGCAAGTGTTATTGTTCAAGGCATTTTGAATACCTTGGCATAGCAGTGTGCACAAGATTTTGAATATCAGAATGGATAGGCTCCCTTTCTACCAACACTGAGAACTATCCAGAAAAGGAAAACAAGAAATGAGGAGACCCAATCACATGAGAGAGACACCTGTAGATAGAGGTCTGTTTGCAAAATGGGTTTGGTTCCATGACTAGCTCATACCTGACTCTAGGGGTTATTTGGTGGATAGATCTATTCCACTTGCTGGTTCTGTGTACTTCTATTGTATTACATTTCTGAACTCTGAGTGATGGTAAATGCAGTGAAAATTGTATATCAACTATCTAAAGGTGAAAAATGGGTAAGAATGTGTGGAAAGGTTTTCACTGTCTTTGTATCTTTTGTTTTACAAGAGAGAGATTCCCTGAACTGCAGCTTCACAGTGTGAAATCACGTTCCTACAATCAAAAGCATAGGATGACATGCAACTGTGTGTTCATGCTTGGGAGTCTGTTTGCGAAATCCTCTTTGAACTTCTGGCCAGTTTTAGCCAGATCTGGCAGAAGATTTAAGAGAAATAAATAAATAAATAAATATATATTTTTTTTATTTGTTTATTATTATTATTATTATTTACAAATGTTGTGAAAGTAGATGACAGACTTAAGAAGGTGGAGAAAAATTGTAAATGCCCGTAACTGAGAGAGGAGGTTCAAGAGGTCCTCAAAGGTCTCAACCTGTGACAAACAAACAATCAAAACACACTCTGTAAAGGACATATTTAGAAGAAGACACTTGATGTGTTGTGTATGCTGTTCTGGCTTTAAAACACCTTTGGAAGAACGAGGATGACTTCATTTTGAAGAATTGTTGTTATGCTCCATGAAAATGCTGTGGAATGACTGGAACCTTTCCAATTAAAGTCAAAATGTTGATCAAATATAGAAAGAGACCATAAAACAGTTCTTTTGATGTTCTAGTAAATGGTTGCATCTTGTTTTCATTCACAGTGGTTAAAAAATCAGAATCATGTTTTTTTTGCCATAGTTTTATTGTGATGTAGAGACTTATTAGAGATTTGATGCAAGCAGTCGTTTGCTTTTTTTTTCTTGTCATCTTTTTCTTGTTATTTTACCATTTTGAGAGGTGTTTGTTTTTTTCTTCAAACTGTTGCATTTATG